AAGGGTCACACACAGTTTCATGGAGCTGAACTGGCAGCTGTGACACTTGGTGTAGATTAAACAGTTTGAACAATGACTGGCAGTAAAAATGTGACTGAAAGAGCTTGACCATAAGAAATGTAAGAACTACAATGCCACATCTGCATTCGTGTTTGTGACCATTTGAAGTGATGATTTGTGCCTTTGCTACTTCGGCTGTAGATGTTTTGACTTCTTCTCAGGTAATGATGTTTGAGCACTGACAGATGTGTGTACCTGGATAGAGAGACATGGAAGTAAAACACAAAAGCAGCTTAGATTATTTCACAGCATTTGAAATTATTGGCCTCTTCTGTGTGCCTGTTTGAAAGCAGCATTTGCTTAAATTTTCAGGTTTTTTTTTTTATCAAAACATTATTTTCTATCTTGGATGTACACAAAGTAAAAAGGTTAAAGATTCCATAATAATTTCAAGAGAATTCCACGGGCTTGGGTTGAACAAGTGAATTGGTGCAGATGAAGCTGGCCATTACAAACTCCTTGGGTTTTGGAATAATTTGTATATAAGTGAATTGCCATTGAAATACTGTCCCTGTTGATACTTTAGTTCTGCTGTGGTCATCTTATGAAGACTGGCACTTGCAGATGCTGCTGGATCTGTATATGGCAAACAGTATTCCTCAGTGTGAGCCCTGAGCTCTGTAGGAATGTGCTGCTGTCCACGGGCACTGGTGCAGGAAGCGAAGGTGCAGTGTCAGAGCACTGCTCCTGGGCCTGAAGCCTGACTGGGCAGGAGGACAGTGCCTTTGCCCTGCCCAGAGGGAGGTTGTGAAGACAAAAAGGGTCTCTAGAACCATTCTGTGTTCTCTTTACAAACATTTCCTCCTGGTTACCTTCATGGTAGCCTTCTGCAGTCAGCAGAACTCGTTTGTACAGAGAGCTGTATTTTTGTTTGGGACAGTCTGTGGTTGCAGAGGGATTTTACCTCTGTGGTTTGTTATGGCCTTCCTGCTCCATGAGGCACAGCCTTTGCCTCTCCCATCTCTAGCATGGCTGTATTTAATAACATACACAGTTCTAGAACAAGGTACTCTGCTGCACTTGCCCCGCTCCCTGGAGTGTGTGTGGGAGAAGCAAAGCCTGACCCTGTTGGTTGTGTTGGTTGATTGCTCTCCTGAAGGTTTGGGCTTCTGCAGCACTGAGTGTGTTAGAGACCCCACACAGAACAGGGTTATGGGATTCTTTCACCTTCCTCCTGCAAAGGTGCACGATGATTAAGCTCTTGCAGTTCTGGGGATCCAACCAAAGCATGATGCCTCACCTGGGATTGTCTTGTGTAGGCTGTAGCTGTCCAAACAGCCATTAAACTTGGGGTAGAACTGCAGTGATTTTGTATGTTGAAGAGAGAGACTTATTTCAGACAGTTGAATTTGGTGCCTGACCAAACACAGCAGTTGGAACAATTGCCCTCATGGATCTGAGCATGTCAGGCTTTAGGGAGAGTGGAAGAAAAGTAAAACAACTCCAAGCTTGCTTTCTGTGGCTTAGAAACAGTTAAAGATCTCTATTTAACTGAATTTTAGTGAATAAATGATGTCCTGCTGTATATATGGATTGGTCAAGTTAATAGTATGTTATATACTATTTTATAATTCAAAAGGAAAAGCAGGTTGAAGTTTTCCTCTTGTTCAGTAGAGGTGGGCAAAATTCACTTTGCTTCCTCACTGCCACCAGTATTAAACTTCATTTTTAAACCCTCCATTGCAAACACTTTTCTTAACCTTTAGAACTCTGGATCACTGAAAAGTTAGATTTTTTTAAGGAAATGACAAATGTCTTCTATATAAAAGTGCAAATGATAGAATATTGTCATGTTCAATAACAGCTGTGCAACAGAGTAAATGGTGACGGCTGGATGTTTGAAAATACCAATTTTGGCGGTTTTAGTAACTTGAGGTTTCTGGGAAATGGTTTTATTTGGATTATTTTCAATGAAAGTGACCCTTCATGCTTTCTTTTTTAAAAAAAAATTATAAAGGATGAAATGAAAGGGCAGATGACAATCTGCTGACTTACAAGGCCTGTACCCTTCCCTGGCACTTGAGAAGCTAGTGGTAGAAAATGCTTCCTGCTTTTAAGCTGCCTTTGCAAAATTTGGCCCCTAATAATGGGAAACAGTCTGTCAGTTGTGTAATCACTACTAATACTATTTTAAGCAGCTGTAAGTATTAGTGTTTTATGATCATCAGGCTAAACTTTAGCTTTAAGAATATCTTCTCAAATCCTGATATTTTTGTTAATATTAACTCTGTGCCTTTTTTTTCCCTCTAAAGGCAGCTTGAGACAGGTGACAAATAAGTAGTGAATGATTGACTAACAGTTGCAAATAATGTGTACTAAATTGTAGCTAATTGTGTAGTTTAATCTTCAGTATTTATTGGATGTTCATTTGGATGTATATATGATCTAGTTCTGCTGTTTAATTCAAATGGACAACCTTGGTAGCATCAAGGTGCCTGCTGAGGGAAAACCATCTATGATTTCAGATCGATTACTTGATGTGTGTTTATAGCTGCAAATGTATTCACCTTGAGAACTGTGTTAACCCTCTGGGATGTCTTGTCCCATTAGGATTTACTCACTTCATTACCAAGATTGGGGTGAGCTGGAATGGTCTTGTTCCAGCCTTCTCAAAGTATCTAAGCTGGTTAAAAGATCTGGGAGTTTGATGTTCTGCTTTTGGGAAGTAAAGGGAAGGTGAAGAAAAACTTTGGGACTGAGAAGGAAAAAAAATGAGAAGTGCTGTTACAAAAATCAGCTCAGTTTAATTGTAGCTGGTGTAAAAAGAACAGAACTGGGTTCTATCTACAATGGGCATTTTGCAAGAACTTAAAACCAGAAATTTTGAATTTTGTTCAACCAGTATGCTAAGGATTTTAAAAAGAAACCCCCCACGCTTTTTCCATCTCCTGTGATCTGGAAATTAAAGCAAATGAGGGACTGTCACCGTGTAACTGTGAGTTGAAGTGATGCTGCAGGAGCCCTGTGCTGAAATGTGTGTTCCTGAAGCGGCTCAGTTGTGTTGGGGCAGCTGTGGTTACCCCACTGCCTGCTGGCAAACGGTGTGCACAGGTTGTTCCAGTCAGGAGAGCGAGAGCAAGATGTTTTGTTTTAATTTAACAGCCTCGCTATTTCAACTGTATTGTGGTCATTTAGAAACAGCTCGTTTAAAAGTCTCTTACCAACATGGAAATTGTGTCGCTGTGGCTTTGGAGAGCTGGATAACGATTATATAACACTGCAAGGGAAACAGCCTTATTGTTACGGATGAGAAAGCTTAGATAGGATATACTTAGATGACAGATCCTGCCCAGGAAAAGCTGTCTTAATGTGTGTGTTCCTGGAATCTTCTGTCACTTTTTGCTGCCCCCCCTTTATTTTATTTTTTTTTTGGTAAGCAAAAATGTTAGTAAAAATTTCAGTAGGGGCTGTAATGGAATGTCTGAACAGTGAGATCCCGTGTGTATCCTTCTAATACGCTGTGGTTTTCCTGACTGATTTGATTGGGTTTGGAATTGTTCCCGTGGCAGGAGCACAGGGCTTTACTCCCTTTGTGTTTGCCGTGTTTATTAGTGGGCTGAATTCTTTCGCCGCGGTCTGTGACAGAAGCGTTTGTGTTGACAAAGCTCCCAGTCTGTCCTGGTGCTGATACAGGGGCTCTCCAGAAGTGATGATGCCATGAATTGTGATTGTATCTGGGCTGCTGTAAACATGCAGCCTTTGTCCCGGCCCTACTCCTGCGAGGTGTGATGTCAGTGTGGCACAGCCCTGGCCTTGCTGTTCCCAGCTGGCCCTGGGCACTGTCTGAGCACCACAGCCTCTTGGGGTGAGATTGTGCTTTTACTCTTAGAGAGCAAGAAAATGTCGTGTTACAGCAGTTACATAAAAGATCTGGAACACTTAATATGGGTGATAGATTATATATACAAAATCCCTGTCTGTCAGCTGTATAGTAAAAGGCCCAAAATAACGGGGCTTTTAGCCACTGAGAATTAAAATAACTGCTATTTTAGGCTTCCTCTCATGAAGCATTGTCTTTGTATCTGGGAAGCCTGCTTCTTACATGACATAACAGCTCAAATCCAATCTCTATAGGATGCAGATACAAAAGAAAAAGCTGCCTTAATTCTCTCAGCAGAATTAGCTGATGTGAAGTGCAGTTGTGTGACCTCACAAACCACAAGCGTGGTTTTAAGTTGCATCTGTGGTCATTACAAACTCCTGAGCCTGTTTGTATCTTAAGTTAAGAATGTTTGAAGTTTTGTGTGTGAATTCTGTATTTCAAAATACAGTGACTCATATCCACGTGGAAATCAGCTGTTCCAAAAATATGGATTGCATACAGATCTAGAGAAATTTAATGCCATTTCTGTTTTTAAGTTAATATATTTATTGGTAAGTCTGAAGAGTTAGAAAGTGTTGCAACAAAATGGTAGTTTGTTTGAACTTGTATTTTAATATTAAGCACCTGTTGTGAAAAAATTGGAATGTGCAATTAAATATCCATAGTCCAGAAATCTGAAGTTTGAAATCTTTCCTCATACAGCTGAGTAAATAAGCTCTCCATGTTAAAGAAAAGCCTTTCTGAGAAGCACATTGTTCCTATTCTTGTTTGAAAAGCTAAAGCAGACTAAAAATTTGAATAGCTAATAATTTGTAGGACACAGTCATTCATATGTGCTATAGGCTAATAATCCAGGCAGTATCAAACTGTAAGTTTTCTCACATACAGGAGGACTTGTTTTCAGTGCAGGAAATGGAATGAGAGCAGAACATGAGTAAGGGCTGTCCTCCAGTGCAGGAGGCAGCAGCACATTCAATTTGCTCCTGTAATGTGTTCAAACACACTCTGGGAGTGCTTGATCATCAGGTCTGCACTGTCAGTCATGGTCCTGCCTGATCCCAGATGTGCTGCAAGGAGCTGGGAGATTTTTCTCCAGGCCCCCAGGCTGGGATGCTGCTGGTTGCAATAACAAATGTCCAGCTGTGGGTTTGTTCATGAAATCCTTCAGATGGAGAAAGGAGAACTAAGGTTGTCAGAAAAGAAGAATATAGGCAGTGAAGAGGTGAGCTCCATTCTGTAAGCAGTCTTGAGATTCCAGATGTGGTTTAGAAGAGAGGTGGCAGATGTTTGTCTCCTATAAATCATTGCAATTAAGAGACTTGCTTAGACCTGGACTAACATAATTTTAAAAATGCTTGAATAAAAAAGAAAAAGACCAAAATTATCTGTTAGGAGAATGTGCATACACAGTCCAAATGTTGACTGTATCTGGAGAATATTTTTATTCTAATGAGTCTGAGGACTTTAAGAAACAGGTGGCTTGGTGAATCTTGGGAAGCATTTTGCTTGTTCTTTGTATTTCCTGACAGGAATGTTGGTGTAATCTAAAGTTGTGGTAGTTGTATTTACTCTGCTACCTTTCTCTCAGCTGAATGAGCTAAAGGAGAGAAGTTCAGGTCTCAAACATACCTGGTTCCAGCAGGTCTTCAGGCAGTGGGGCCACAGTTGGCAGAGTTTCCTTTATGATTTTCCTCACTGTCCATCAGGATCAGTGTGCAGTGAAAGGCTTGAGGTGAGGATATTGCACCATTGCAGAAGACTTTATAAGTAGGTTGCATGTTATTAAAAATGAGTGAGATGTTATCAGTACAAAGCCTGGAGTATCTTTAATGAAGTTCAGTGCCTAAAAATAATGGTTTGGAAGCCCTGTGCAGTGGGGATTCAATCTTGTTTCTCCCACGGAGAGTGTGGTTAGTCTTTCAGGAGTGTGTTGAGTGAAACCAAGGAGAAAATACACTTTTCCCTGAGTGCTGTGTTGTGTAAAGGAGAAAAGTGATGAAACCACATCCATGAGCCTGCCCTAGCCAGAAATCTCAGTGAGCTGAGCACTGGGCTTTCTTGATAGACATGTGAGATGTTAGGCCTTAGTTAATCAAGAGATATTCTGAGGTCTCTGTGTTTGTGTATAGCGTGCTTTGAAGTGAAGATGAAAGATGTGAACAATTTGTCTTTTCATAAAGATACTGGGAATATCATGTGTTCTTTCAAGGTGGTTTTAACTGTGATTTAGGGAAAAAAAAATAAACTCAAGGGGATTGAGCCTGTTAAAAAATAGGTTTATGCAGAGCCTTCGGTTTGCAGGTGGGAATTTTAGACCTGTGTAGCTGGAACTTTGCTGGAGTGTGGTGCCAGGTGGGAATTGTTGTGATAGTCTGTTTTGCCAAAACTGATGTCCTTTAGTCAGCACCTCACCTAGAAGGTCAGTAAGGAAATAGGCTTTATGTTGTCAAAAACCAGCTCTAATATAGTTGCATTTTTCTCCAGTTTTCAAACCTTGACTCTAAGAGTGGAAGAATGAAGCATGATTTGTTGTCTCTGGAATGAGAAAGATGGAATTTTTCCTTTTCAACTGCAGTGAGGGAAATGAATTCCAAAATAATGAGGGAATTTTCAGACCTGGGGATATGAAGATAATATCTGGGTGATAAAACTGAGGTTCAGCAATTTGTCTTTAGCTACTAAAAATATAATTGAATGGGTGAGAAACAGAGAATGCCTTAAATAACTCACACAAAACAAATAAGATCCAGACACGTCAGTGATGTGAAGGGACACTTTCACAGCTTTTATTTGGAAGAAGCTGTGTTTTTATGAAAAATCAGCATCAATACAGTTTTATTTTTTGACATGGGCTACATATGGTTCCGTTTCGTGGTAATTACCACCTGTACTGCATTTTTAAATTTCTCCCCCCTCTTCCACCTGCCCCCAAGGTTTTAAACTTCTCAGCAATGTTTCTTATGTATATCCATCATCTGAGCAACTTTAAAATAAGATTAAATACTAGAAGAACCAGTTGGCTGGATTTCTTTCAACTTCTTTTGCATTGCCTAAAAAAAAGCAGTGTTAAAAGCTTCTGTGTTACCTGGCACAAAATAAGATAAAAGGTGATGTTAATACTGTGTTGTGAAATTTTGGGGGTGAGTGATTTTTAAAAGCTTTGGTTCTTTTTTGTTTATTTATGTGTTGAGGTTTGTGTTTGTTTTTTTAACAGGAGTCTTATCCCTCTTCATCACCAATATGGTTTGTAGAATCAGATGACCCAAACCTGACTTCAGTCTTAGAGCGTTTAGAAGATATTAAGAAGAGCAATACTCTGGTGAGCAAAGTGGTTTTTGGTTCTTTTGGGCATTTACTTGGGTTTGGGTGTTTATTTGGCTTTGTAATATTAACAAGCAGTTCGGTTTGCTCAGTTTTGGGGTCACTTGGGAGGTTTTGTAAAAACAACTTTCTCTTCCAAAAGGAGCCACAAGTGATCCAAAAGATTTGAAGCAAGTAGGAAAAGATAACTTTTCTTACAGAGTAAGCATTTAAGTAAAGTTACAGCCCCAGTAATTACAGTGTGAATCTCTTTGAAAATAATTAAACAGTGAAGTGGATGAAAAGGTTAAAACTACTGTAAAAAGCAGTTCTTGTAGGATTTTCTTTGCACAGAGATTAATTACAAAGGCAAAAGCTTTGTGTTCTTGAGAATGTATGTTCTGCAAAATGTGGGTATAATACAAAGAATTCCTGGTTTCAGTAAAGGAGACTTGACCTGAGAGCTCGTGGTTCATCTGAATGTTCCTTAGGTACTGATACATTTAAACAGGGTTGTGACTTTGGGCAGTTGCTACTTAAAGAAAATCTCTGTACAGATTCTAATGGTTGTTTTGTACTGCAGAAACCTCTCAAACATTATATCTTACTTGAGTACCCTTTTCATGTAGTGATAGGAGCTCTTTGTCTGTGTGTGTGTATATATAAAAATTAACTTCCCATTCAAGTGTCCTTGAATAGTGCTTGGAGATAAATGTCAGTACAAATGCAGTTTGTTCCACAAGGAGTAGTATTGCAGCATACAGAAAATTCAGTGATTGAGTGTTGTTTTCCCACTCCAAATTCAGCTTTATGGATATTAAATAGCCTTTAAAGGTGATCTTTATTAATAGATTATTTTAACATGTTGTGTTTTTATTTATGCATACAAAACAAATCAGTCTGCAAAATACTGCTTCTTGCATGGATTGTGTGCTTAGTTCTTGCCTGGTTTGGAAAAATTGGGAATGTTCTTACAAAGTCTGCTACTTGTCATGTTTACTGGCATAATGGTAATCTAGCATACCCAACCTTAAACAAGAATGTACAAGTGCCTTTTTCTAAAGAATATTTAGAATGCATTTGACTTCTAGCAGAAATAATTAGGACACTAGTAAGAGTGAGAGCTTGGAGGGCCTTGCCATAATTAAAAACAGTTGCAGAGGAATATTAGTGATTTAATGCATTATGTCGGATGTGACTGCAGGAGACACAGGTCTCAGTTGTGTATTTTCTACTCCAACCTAAACTTTAGACTAAACCACATTCAGAAGAATGTGACAGATCTCTTAATCTTTGTGACTTTTGCCCAGCATGACACAGAACAGGATAGTAGCAGAAAATCTGGCCAAATGATCCTTTTTCTTCAATACCCTTCCCAGCAGACTGTGCTGGTGGAAGCTGGTGTGGCTGATGGCTTCAGCCTGAGGGTTCTGAGCAGGATGTTTCCTCTGTGTGACTGCCTGCACTGGGCTGGAAAGCTTTGCTGTAAACATGCATGGGACTTGCTGTGCTGAATTGCATATGCACAGACACTGCTTATGTACCTGGTAAGAAAACAGCTTCTGATATCAAGATTGTACTTGCCCATGTAAAAGCTGCTGGGTTGATGTAATAGGCACCTGTGGATGGCCCATTGGTTTCTCAGGAATCCACCCTGCATCTTGTTATGCCAAGATGAAGACAGATGGGAGTGGTTGAAGAGATAGAAACACCACAAAATCTGGCTTTTTTTTTTTTTTCTTTTTACTCCAAAGGTTTGGCTTTGTGGGGTTTAAGTTTGTTTTTTCTCCATGCAACTTCTTCCCCATCAGTGGCATTGGAGCAGCTCACACAGTTTTTGGAGTGGGGTAGGAAGGGGTTGGGAACTACCTGTAGAAATCCAAAGGCTTCTAATTTATCACAGTCTCCTAAAAATTCACTTAGTTTAATTTAGATTTCTAGAATGTTTCAAACCAATTTTCATTCAACTTATTGCAAGTAAAGGATCATTAGTGCCATGTTATTCTAAACTCAGAGTTATTGGAGCAATCAAATTTAGAATGGGAGATTGCACTGGACTCTTGCAGGAGCTTAACTGGACACAGCAACCGTGTGCTAAAAGCACTGCTGGCACATACCCTGCTTTAGCTTTTTTTAGTATTACTCTGCCCTTTCTACCTGCTTGTGACAGGTATCAGCTCTTTGGGACACTGGAGTTATGCTCTTCAGGCATAAATGTTTGACAGGGGAAAGCCATCCTTGTCATTTGACATGGTAAAAGGAAAACTGGTTTCTGATGTTGAAATCCTGGACGTGTTTCCTGGAAAATCTTCTGTGGGTCCAAAACTGCATCGTTACCTTGTATGAGCATGGTGCATTTGCTAGGAAAATTTGTTGAAAGGTTGCTAAGAATGTGATCAGCATAGATATCATTAGGTTTGGACACTTTAGCTGCTTGACTGTCAATGTTGAACAAGTTCCAGTCAGCAGATGAAGGGGCTACACAGTTCGTTCAACCCTTAGTGTCTCCTGAACTGCTTTTCAGATCCTGAAAATCCAGCATCACATTAGACTTGATGGGTATGAAACTGCCATCTACCTTCTAGTGGTTGTGCTATGCAAAAGAGAAATCCTACTGTCTTGTTAAGTTGAATTTGGTGGAAGCTATACAATGCAAGTCTGAAGCCTCAAACCTTCATGACATACTAAGTATAACTGTGTGCTATTTGGAGGTTTGTTTTTAAAGAGAATAGAGAAATGAACTTAAATTCAGAAGCTTAAATTCTCTCTAGACCTTAAACTTGCATGGAAGATGTCAAAAGTAGAGAATTCCTGGTATAAGTTTGTTTACAGCTTGGATAAGCTGCTGTCCTGAAGGACGCTGCTGTGGTGTTAATAATGCAGAGTGAGTCCCACATGGAGACATTTCAGGGAAGAATGCTGTCTCTTGCAAACTCCCAGTGCAGCAGCAGCAGATCATGTGTTGGGAGTCAGAGACAAAATGCAGGAATAAGCTTTGCTTTACTTCCTGGGACTGGCCAAGGCTGCAGAGTGTGTGAGGGCAGGTGCTGTCACAGCCTGCCTGAGAGCTGATGGGGGTCACTCCAAGTGACAGTTATTGCTTCCCTATTTCCACTGGGATCCTCCTTCAGCAGTTTCTGTGGTAGGCTAAGACTGATTGATTCCTTTCTTTTTACACAGATACAGTGTGTGTATATGTGTAGATAGACACACGTGGAAGAATGAAGTCTTTGTAGCTTCCACTGTACTTCTGTTTCTCGATAATCCAAACCCAAGGTGTTTCCCAGTGAACCCAGCAGGGTATTAATATCATCAAAGGTATCCTAAAATTGTTAATGCTTTTGTACTGCATTAGAAAGATCTCTTCATGTATAAAAAAGCCTCCTAATGTAGCCTCAGTTTCAGGAAAAGATTGTTCTAAATTGTTCTCAGATGTGTAGGTTGTTAACATAGGAAGCAGAGAATTCCAAGAGGTGTTTTTGTGTTCTAAACCAGCATTATGGTATCCACAAAAACTACCAACTTCTCAGAGCTCCTGAAGCATTAAAAATTACAGGGATGTGTATTATAATTCTTATATTTTTGTTACTTTTGTATTAATTATAATCAATGTAATAAGTTTATAAATGTGTCACTGCATTTGGTCACTTGAGCATTTCCCCTCTGCAGGCTCCTTACATGGCTCCTTTAATCCTCTGAGGGTTGTGCATTCTGGATGTGCATTCTATGTTTAGTTTGTGCTTTAGGCAGTTTGTATTCCAGGGAAACTCTTGGTGTCCTGATAGCCCCTTTTCTTCAGTAACCTCAGAGTGTGTGTGTTAAGCATTCACTTTACATTAGTCAAGCCTGTGAAGTTACCCTGGAAATACATTTAAATTATTGATATGTAACAGAAATCTTTGATACAATCTGTTCATGCACATACCAACACATACCAAATCATGCCAGGCCCTGCTCAGGGCATGGGGCTGGGTCAGATGTCTTCCAGATGTGCCTTTCAGCCCAAATTATCCTATGATTTTTCATATATGGGAGCAGAGCATAAGGGATAAGTGATGGTGATCCATGGCAGAAAGATCAAGGGGATGAAATTAATTCCTGTGGAGGAAAAAATGTAGCAATAAGTGGAAGGGTTGTAAAGAGAGGATCAGCTTCTCTCTCTGCCACCACCTTTGCAAACTGTAGACACTGATGTCAAATAAAGCAGCTGGTCTCTGCAAATGAAGTGCAGTGTGACAGTTGCATTCATGTAACCCTGAAGTGTGGGGTGCTGCCCAGGCAGGGGATCCCTGCTCTCAGCTGCATGTCTCTGCCTCCCCTTTGTGGTGTCACTGGTGCTCAGACACTGAAGCTCATCAGGAATTGGTCCCCCACAAACCTCTCAGCTGCCTCAGGGCTGTGTGATCTCTGGGGCCAGTGGAAGGGAGGAGGTGAAAACCTGCTGCTCCTCCAGGCACAGGCTCTGTGATGTGGCCCAGGTTGGGCCAGGGGGTTGTTGCTTGGAGGGTGCTGGTGTCCCTTGCTTGTGGTGCTGCCTTGGAAGGGATTGTGAGAAGCTTCCAGTGTGTTGGGGCCTGACTGCAAAAATTCCTTCTTAACTTTGGTTCAGGTGACAGGACTTTTCATGAGCAGGATGAGGAGTGGAGGAACCAGGGTAGGAAGCAGTTCTTAAACTCTTTCCAGCCTTTACTCTTTCTTCCAGTTAAGACACATCTAATGTTGTCTTCATCTGCTTGTCCAAGGTCAGTTCTAATGGACCAGCCCACTGCTGATGGTGCTGCTCTTTCCCCCACCACTTAGATTTTTTTTTTTGTGTGTGTGTGTGTGTTCTTCACAGCAGATGTAAAGAAATTAATGGCTTGCCTGGTTTTACATAGCTCTGTGAGAAAAAATACAGCTCCTCAAATTGTATGGTTTATGCTCCAGCTCTCCATGAGGCAGTGTTTGTGCAGAGAAAAAGTTTCTCAACAAAATGTGTAGCAGTGCAACTTGCAGCTTTTTGCACATATTGAGAATAGTAGTTAGTTCTGTCTGATTCTATCTGGCAACTAGCTTTTTGATGGATTAACCTGATTTCTACCTGCTAAAAGATTTCCTTGATGTTTCAGACACCCGGGAAGTTTCAAACAAGTGTTGAGTCTTAAAGTTGATGAGAAACGTGATTGTTACAGAAAGCTTTTGGCAACATAAACTATCGCATCTCATGTGTTTGCTCATAAGAAGTGTGGTGCTGATACCCCAGTCCTTTTGATGTTACCTGCTTTATTTCTGAGTGAAGGAAGACTGTCATGTATGATGCAGAAATAGCAAATGTGGTGTGAGAGGAGGGAGTGCCATAGTTGTAGTGCAGGCTGGTGTCTGAGTTCATGGCCTCAGGTGGATAAATAACATTCCTATTACATAGAGTGTGGGATTCTGCTGCAGAAGGGAAAAGCACCAAAGCTTTCAGATAGCATAAAGGCAACATTTGCTTATCACTGCTAGTGATTGGGGCGTGGAAATAAGTTTTTAACTCTGGAGAGACTGAATTTTCACTTGTGGGAGGGTAAGGTAAGAGCATCTAAACTGTCCAATAGCTTTAGACATGCAGAATATTTTGGAGTGAATAGATTATTTTTTTTACCTTAATTTACTGTATATTTTGAGAAATACAGTATACAAACACCAAATATTGTTGTAGAGTTATAATTCTTTCAGAAGTCTGTGCTGTACCTTGGGTGAGGCTGCATTTCCTGAGTCTCCCTCCTTTATGGAGAAGAGCTTCAGGGGGAGGGGGTTGCCACTCAGGTGTTACTACCAGGAGTACTGAGGGATGTGTGTGCAGACTTGGTTGTCTTACACACTGCCCTTGACAAGTGGCAAGACAAACTCCCTTTGGTGTCTGGAAGAAAAGTCCATAAATGGATGCAAAAAATGAGGTGTTGACCCTTTTACAGATGCATTCTGCAGTCCTTTCTTTGTTTTCCTGACATAGCTGTGCAAAGACCTTGAAAAGTTAGGAAATGCAGCAGTACAGTCTTTCATGTCTTGGCCTTAACTAGGAATCTGAGACTGCCTAGAGAAATTTAACAGCTATGGAAATCAGCTTAATTAATGTGGTGAGCGAACTTAATGTTTGCCTGTTTGTGCAGAACTAAATGATTTTTCTGGCTTGCATAACAGTGAGTGTAAGGTGTTCTGTGTTTTGCAGTTAGCAGAATGTCAGTGTAATGCTGCAAGGTGGAAACAGAAATCAGAGATAGTAACAGATTGTGCCTCCCCCTGCCCCAAGCTGTGGCAGGCAGACTGCTCAGAGCTTGCCTGCTTCTGTGCCTTGTACTGTGTTTGTCTTGCTCCAGTGCCTCACTGGTGTGCCCTGTAAAAGAATTCAGGATATGGAAAATCAGACTCAGACTGTTCCTCCTTGGTTTTTTTTTAAGACATGGGGTTTTTTTAAGCTGGGAAATGGGAATGGACCGTCTTGTCTTATGGAACATTACCAGTTGCTTATTCCATAGTGATTTGTGGCTCAGACACCTGTGTTTGGATTGGATGATGCTGTCAGGGCACATTATTCTGCTTTGCCATGTTTCCATGGTGGGGACTTGGTTACAATGATTACAGAGGAAAAGAGGGGTCTTTACATTTAATTCCAGCTTAGAAGATTTAAATGCTGTACAGTGACTTTAAGTTCACTACCAACGTGTGAAGAAAACTCAAAATCCTGCTCTGTGCTTTGGTTATAACCACTTCCATGTTTTTGTTTTTTATAGCTTCTTCAACAGCTGAAGCGATTAATATGTGACCTCTGCAGATTATATAATCTTCCCCAGCATCCAGATGTTGAAATGTTAGATCAGCCATTGCCAGCTGGACAGGTAAACTAAAAAAGCTGTGGACACCTCCTTATGGCAATGAAGGAGTTGGAAAAACAACTCCAAGAAAGAAGATGGTGGGAATGATTAAACCTTGTGTAAGCCAGAACTGAGATATGAAGCACTGTTGCTTTATGATGTCCTCAGTCTGAATTTTGTTTGCAAAATCCATTTAAGAATGGTGTGATAATATTACACAATTTCCTTTGGAGTTTCTGTATCATTGAAAGGTGTGTAAGTGATACCACTGCTGTCAAGTCTATATTCCCTCCTAAACACTGTTCAAGCCAATGGCTGTGCACTCCTAGTGCTTCCTAAATTTACTTTTTCTGAAATGTTTGCTCTTTGTTGAAGTGTATATGTTTTACAGTGTGCACTTGGATGAAGTACTGTTGATGTTTTCCTTCCTCTTCGATCCCTTGCAGAGACATGGGATTCAAGACCATATGCTACTTTGGGTAGGGAGTATCTGAGGTGCCTTGTTTACTTCTTGTGCACTTGACATATTGAGTTGTGGAAGGGCTGTGAGATGTTCTTGTTAACCAAAATGTTTTGTATTGTGCTGAAAACAGAACCGGTAACTGACAGTAACTGTTCTTTTTTGTATTTTTAATAAGACTATGATATCTTCTTTTGTTTGTATGTGTTAAGATGACACGATTTCTAAAAGCTCCTGTAGTGTAACAGATGGTTTTCCTGTGGTGACAGTACTATAGGAATGACAAATAACTTGCTTAATTTTGGTCACGTGCCAAATTGTAATCCTACAGGTCTCTGCTTTGAACACCCACACAGCAGTGCAAGTGCAAGGCAGTGGGCCTGTGATCTTAGGAAGTAGCTTTGTGAAGTCTTGCATGTGCTCTGAAGCTCAAAACCAAACTCATGTCACACAGTTTGCAAGTTAAATAAGAGTGGCCTTATTAAGTCTGACTGAAGATCCATCTAGTCCCTTGCATTGTCCAGGGCAGTGATTCTTCCCCTGGACTCAG